TATTCGCTCCGAGCCGATACAGAGGTTGCGCCCCCTCTAGCCAAAATCAGGCAACATTTCTTGCATGTAAACAAACGGTTTAGAACATATATACATGCGTATAGCTGCTTGTGATTGGCTGAATAAGACAGCAGGAGAGGATCGTCGTTCTCTCTCTAGCTTGCCAAGTGCCAATCACAAGCAGCTGTACTTATGTATATATGTTCTAAACCGTTTGTTTACATGCAAGAAATTTTGCCTGATTTTGGCTAGATGGGGCGCAACCTCTGTATCGGCTCGGAGCGAATATGCCAACAACATCAGTATCCATGTCAGTTAGCTAATCTGCTATATGTATATGTAACACATTTAAAAAAATTAAATTAAATTTTATACATATATATAGGTGTTTCCACGGTAACTGGCTCAAATCGTACCCAGAGCACGTACGACGTTTTGAAACTGAAACTAATTATGCTTGCAGTGCCAAAACCTGTTAAATGTTATTAATTTCTTATTAGTTCTATATGTAACCAGTTTTTGGTCCCTTTCACAAAGAAAACTGCAAAAATTACCTCGAAGTGTCAGATCTGACCTCTGTTTAAAATACAACTTTTAAACAAAAGACTCTTGCATAAAAAAATAGAGATATTTTTTGGAGCGTGTGCTCCTACGAGATAAACTTTAGTTCTGGTACATTTAATTTATTTTGAAATTACCCATGCTTTCAGCAAATAAGTAAGAACGTATAATGCAGTATTTTTGTCTCTTGATTTATATGAATATTTTTATAAGCAGACAAATAGCTTTGTAAAATGCTCAATTCAGTTCTACAACGACCCCACACGGTCATTCTTCGAATAACATACTGTCACTCAAAAAGTGCACTGGATAATACCGCTAATAATTGGAATCACTGTGACTGGTAAGTAAATTATTTCTTGCTTCTCGTGTGTACAAATACTTTAGTCAGTTCCAACCATCCCTTAGAGCAGCTACTAGGTTTATTTTAACAGATACGTAAATTATACTTTCTTATACTATTTGGCAATGACAGGTATTGTGTAAGCGGGAAAGTCGGTGGGTCTCGTTCGTGGACAATCGAAGAGCTTTAAAGCTCAAAATATCAGTTTTAACCCTGTCAGTTCTGACCCTATAAAATTGATAATCAATGGTTGTTAAGTTTTTTTACATTTTCAGGTCTTGAGTCATTGAAAATTTAACCCCTAATCATTGAATATTTATTATTAACATAGTTTCACATAGTTTTACATTGAGTAAACAAGTATATTTTTACTAAAAATCTTAGCAAACTGTACTTTTAAGTAAAATAATCATAATTTAGTAAAGGAACACATGAATAGTTCATGAAAAAAAGTGTCTTCAAATAATAGGATACTAATAACATTTATGTGAAATGCTAGCTGTAACTAGAATTAACGATAAAAAAAATTTTTTTTTTAAGTTATTGTAGAAAAAATTTTTTTCGTGATAGTAAGAATAAAGTATTATGTATGTAGTTGCAGTCTTATGATTTTAATTTAAAACTCTAAAATATAGAGTTTTAATTCTTAAAAAATAACATACCATTAAAAAATTATTTTATGGGCATAAACATGTTAAAATTTATCGACACAAGTTTTTTTCAAGACTTTTACAGTTAAAAAACGAATTATAAGTTATTTTCACAAATAGGCTAGTTCTGACCCCTACCAAAAATCATAAGAACTGTATAAATTTTGAAACTAATATCTTATGGCCAATTTGTTGTAGGTAATTGTTTTTTATGTACTCAAAAGCCACAATGATACATATAATATCTATAAGGGTTAATTAAAAAAACCGAAAATTTTAGACTTAATCTGAGATAGTTACGGCGGCATCACCCTCAAATTTATTGCATTGTATTTTATTAACATAAATGGATATTTAATAATAACCATTACTTATGCTTAAGGATCAAAGTACTAAGTGCCTATAGGTCACAAATAACTTTCAACGAATGATTTATAGGGACTTTTTGTTTGTTGTTGTAAGGTGATTTTGTAAAAACGTATGCAAGTAATTGTTTATTGGTGTAATAGTATTAGTGCATACAATTTAAGATCATAATAAGTGAGTCCGAGTCCGATCTTAATAAGTTAAAATTTGAAGTGAGTCCCCCAAAAAGAAATATTTGATAGGGATAAATGTAGGTATGACGGACACTTTTTTGCTTAGAACATACGTCAAAGCTTGCAACATACGCACGTATTAGTATATAAACTTAATTTTTTATTTAAATAAAAGTTCTTGTAAATAGTTACCATATAATAATTATTTTAATAATATAAAGTGATAAGTATAATAAAAACTCAAAATACTGGTATTATCGCCACTGAGTTCATATTACTGATACCCAATTGCTGTCATAGCTTTAGTTATTGACACCCAATTACTGCCACTACTTTAATAACTGTCATCTCGGTTATTTAAAAGTGTGAGACTAGAAGCTCATTAATTGAAGAGTGCAACGTAAGAGAAAATTAATAATATTTTATTCATAAATTCTGAAATTATAATTATTTCTTTCTAATAAGCTATTGACATTTAAGTCGTTAATACGTTATCAGACTTGTATGCTACTATCTAAAAGATCGTAACATTAGAAAAAAAACATTTAGCAAGATGA